CAATATTGAACATCAGAACTTTCAACCAACTATTCATTCTAAATGTCAAGACAGTGACAGGTCTTTGTCTGTCTTCCAAGACAGTGGGTCTGGCTGCTGTGTAGGTGGGGGTGATGGTGCATGGGCTGCTGTGTAGGTGGGGTGTACAAGTGCTATACGAGACCTCCACGAGACCTCCTTTCTGGCTGGGTTGAAGGTGATGGCTGTGGTGGAGCCTTTGTGCTGAGGTGTATCTTGACCTGGTGGCAGCCGCAGATGGAGGTGGAGGCAGCTGTAGTGATGCTGGTCTGCTGGTCCTTGGTGCTGATGGCTCTGGTGAAGGCCCTTGAGCCACAGTAGATCTTGACCTGGGGGCCGGCACAGATGGATGTTGTGGCTGCTGGATAAACGCCGCCACCTGTGGGCCACTAGGCCCAGACAGCTGTGAAACATCTCTGTAAAACAAATTAAAATGTAGGACAATAATTACAACTAATTTCATTGAAATAAAGTTCAAGTAAAATGTTGCTCAAGCACAAATAACAATGCACACATAAAAAGAAAGTTTGGGAAGTTGGAGAAGGAGTCTCTCTCGATCTCTCTCTCTCACACACACACACACACACACACACACACACACACACACAGGTATTTCCAGTTACTTTACATTCAGTATAAAATCACAGACACACATATACATAGGCTACATCTGATTACAAAGTCTCATCTGTACAGAACAGTATGATAAAATAATCGATGGCAAAAACATGTCACTGTAAATGTCTCCGTTGTGGGACGAATAAATGATTAATTTAATCATCTACACATGTCATCTCACTTTTACACACCAAAATAACGTTAACACAGAGTAAACGTTTTCTAATGGAGAGTCTATTTTGTTCATGACTATCGATAACAAATATATATCAATAAACCTATTGTTCATTTTCGCGGTATTCCCCACACATTGCCAGTACACTATTACTGTAATATTTACACTTACCCATGTCCAAATGGATCCTTGTTGTTGTCTTTGTATTCTTCTTCTTCAGAAGAGTCGAAGACTTCACGTTCTGAGGCTCTATCTTCACTGCTGCTAGCGAAAAAAATCTCTAGCGAAGTCGGCAACTGTAAAGTTTTTTTTAGCCATTTTCTCTGTCTCTCTCTCTCTCCTCACAGACATAAACTGATGGGAGACACGTGGTTTATGTTTTGTTTACTTGGTGGATAGGTCCTTAGTGATTTCTCGATGTCCATTGGTCATTGCAGACCATGATGGCTGCCGGCCGAGATTTCCTTGACGGACACACAAATCCACCAATCCCACACAGTGTAAAGTCAAGCTGCTTTGAGCGGCCATATTGGCTGCTGTGCCCTGGTTACAGTCTCACAGGAGATACCGCTGGAAAGCTACTCTTCCAGCGATTCCGCGGATATCTGAATCATATTTCTACTCCTTATAATCGAAAATATATGATTAATTACGTACAATTATGCGCACCTGGACGCGCCGGCGCGTCCACCGACTCCAGAGGGTTAAGATCATTTCTGACAAGTTTAGCCTTGAGAGATACATTTGAAAAGGGGAGATGAAGGTGAAAGGTCACACTAGGTTGTCAGGTTAGGGACCAGAGGCGGGATCAAACCCACGTCTGCTGTAGCATGAACTGAGCCCCAGTACAATGACCCAAACTATTAAACCTTACCTGGTTCCTTTTTTAATAATACACCTTTTCTTTTGTCTCCCAGGTGTAAGAAGTGGGACATTCCCGTGGAGAAGATCTACAACAAAACCCAGCGCGAGAAGTTTGCCTGGGCCATGGACATGGCAGAGGAGGACTATGAATTTTAAAATCCGTTTTAAAATGTGGTTTTATCTATGACACACTCGTTTTTTTTATCGGATACTTGTTTTTTTAGCCTAACCGAACTTCGCTCGATGGCCAGACCCCGATCAGGAATTTCCGACAGTTTGAGCAGAGAAAGCAGCGATGGAGGAGGAGGCCATCATGACGTGGCAGAAGGGGGTTGTGGGTAGTCTTAAATGTCTGATCTGAGATCAGGCATCAAGGCTGAACTATACCCTCGACCGAGCATCAAGGCTTTAGCCCCCGTAAGTGGAAGATCTTTGTACCTTCTTGTCTCGCTCCCTCCGCGGGGACAAAGCCTGACGATGCCTGAACTCTGAACTCTGTGGTCCTATAGCTACTGTATTCAGCAAAAAAAAGGCTTTGTATCATTTTAATTTTCTCTGTTCACTTGCTTTGTATTTTAGCCCTCCCATGTATTATTAATGAATTCTATATTTTGATAGACAAAGTTAAATCAAATGAATTCCTTAACTACACCCACGCGCCTTTCGAGGAAATGGAAATGTGAGCTTGAGGTGTGTGTGTGAGCGTGTGTGCATGAGCGTGTGTGTGTATGAGGGGTTCGGCCATGGATTTGTTGGGTGAATATTTCAAACTGGACTATGTTGTTGTTTAGCATGACAGAGGATGTCTGGGCAGGCAGAGGGGAGGAAATACTGCAACCATGTCAATATTTACTTAAGCAAGCAGAATGTGAATATTTAGTTTTACCACCTCCATCAGGGACTTGTTTTTCAGTGTAAATGTGAACCAATCATTTGTACGCATCCTCCGAATCTATCTGCAGCGCTCTGTCTACATCTGATTTTAACTTAATTTAACAATTCAACATTTTAAAAAACAAACGCCCGCATATGTTACTTGAAGATAATGCTATGATAATGTATTTAAAGTCATTTTAAATGGAAAGTGTTTTTCTTCCCAGAAAAGAATATGTGAGGGATATCAACTTTGCCAAAAAAAAAAAAAAAAAATCACCAATCTGTTACAATTTAGGCAGGTTTTTTTTTAATTGTGTAAAGATTGAGGATGAAATAATAATGTAACATTCAATGTGAATTATCAGTTCATTTTATTCCACTTTTTATGATAGGAAATTTGATGTTTGTAGCTGTAAAGTCAGAACATCCTATTCCTGTTTTACCCTGTTGTCATAGCCTTTGATCATGTTTTATTTGAGTTTTATGCTCATTGTAGGTTGAAAATGAATAAAATCCTACAATTAAACACACTTGTGATTTATTTACTTTCACACTTCAATTTATCTTAAGTTTGTACATTTATAGAAAGTTGATTCTTAAGTGTTTTTGTCACACAAACACATTTTTATTTCTCACCTTAAGAGGCCCAATTCTGCTTTTTTCAAGTGTTTCCTTTCCTGTACAGCGTTTGGTTTTTGTGCAAGCGGCCACCGACCACGAGGGCAACAAGCTCATTGCTCTCAGTGCTTCCACGCTGAACTACCTGGCATCTCTGGCTTGGTAAAATAATCTTGAAATGGCTTTCTTTTTTTTCTTTGTTTACCCTCCTGTTATATTCGTTTTTTGTAACAGCAATAACCATCGTGGGTCAATTTGACCCAGTGCATGTTTCATTATCCAAAAATGGTCAGAAGAAGTATTTTGTACATAGTTTGTACCTTTGTATTACTTTCAATGAAATCAATATTTAGTGCAATTGTGTTATCTCACAGATCATGGTTCCATTAGAATAAGTCACTCGTTTTTCACAAAACATACATTCAAACACATGTTTCTAGTTTCTTTTTTACATTGGAAAAACCTTGATATAAAATACATTAGTTTTGCATTGCATTTTTTAAATTACTTTCAAAATGTTCCAACTTTTTTTCCAATATGTTGATAGAGACGAGACACCTCTTCTCTTCAGGGTCAAATTGACCCGTTCACTTAGAATCAAGCCAAATGAGTCAAGGATTTGTATTGAAAGTATTTTATTGTAACAGCAATTAAGAACGTGGGTGTGTTCGAGTGGGGTAGTGTGTCCCCTTCTAGCCTCTACTTTCACTGCCAGGTCCCATTTGAGCCCCCTCTGACCCCTTCTAGCCTCCACTTTCACTGGTGTGTGTGTGTGTACATTTCTGACCCCTTCTAGCCTCCACTTTCACTGCCGAGTCAGATTGACCCGAATACCATCTCTGATATAGATCAATATTTACCAGAGTGGTTAAAAGTTCACATTGCACCGTTTAGTCTTGACATATTGAAGAGATAAGAGATGTCCAAAGCCCCAGTTTAAAGAGGCCTTTTATGCTTTTGGGATTATCCCTTCATGTAGTGTGTTAAGATTAATTTGTTGCATGTTCTGCAAAGGTTACACTCCTTGTTTCCTCCAGAGAGAGTTTCTCTCCCATTACCTGTCTGAAATTCCTCCATTGGACTGTATGTCCTCTGTAACAGTGCCATAAATGTGATTGGCTAAGGGGTGGGACATTTCTGAGTTTGTGACCAATGGGCTCTGGTTTCAGACAGAGGGTGAAAAGCGGTGCTTTCAGCACAGGCAGAATGAGGTACAAATAAAGAGCTTTTTGAACATAGTCACAGGCACATATTACAAATATGAACCTAGAAATGATACCCCAATCATTAGCATAATAGGACTAAAAAACATGCATAGAGGACTGAGATTATCAGCCTGTGAGGTGGGTTTAACAGCATTTAAAGACAAATGAACAGTACCAAGAATAAATTATATCCAATCCTAATAATTGAACTTCTCCTTATGGATGGATGTAGGCATTTAAAAAATGTCTGGTGTACTTATTCCTGTGATAAGTAGGCTGTAAGTCTGGTAACATCTGGCAGGCTTGAAGCATATTATTTGCCCACTTTATTAAATAAGACACCATCTGCATTCATACATAAGGCCTTATGCCTAATGATACACCTTGCAGACGATAAATAAAGGGTCTTTCGGTCTGTAAAATTTAAATATTTCCTCTGTATCTCAGCTCCTGGCACTACCTGTACTGCCAGCTGCTCTCCAGCAGGGGAGGCTGTGTGCATTCCTCCAGTGGATTACCTGCTACTTGTTCAATCATCACTGAATAATTCGATTGCTATCCATGCACGACATCATTCATATTCACTCCTGGTGCAAGGTGCTGAAACAAAAATAATGAGGCGTGACTGCTTGGTGAGTATTCAGTTTATTCTGTAAAGATTCAGAAGTGTAGAAAGGATGATACAACAGTGCTTTATGATCAGACTATTTCATAAAAGTTTTTTTTTTTTTTTTTTTTTTTTTCTTTTTAAATGATCATAACACCGTAAGTCCAGATTCCATGTATCTCAAACCAAAATAAATTTGTAACATTCGACACAAGTGCATACACTGCTGGTAGGAGATTGACCTCCAATTTCACTTTGGATGGTATAGCACCGTTCTTAGCTATTAGCAGCTTGACAAAGATGCAGCTTCATAGGATTCATGTAGTGACTGTATGTTTATATGAACACAAGAAAATTCAGAGGAGAGCAATCCTCATTTGGCTCTCTAGCTAGCACAATATCTCACTCTGTCAGTGTCTAGGGATCAAATTGATAATTTCGCTTTAAACAACATTTCGCCAGTAACAATATTTGATACAATTACAGTTTAAAGTTAAACATCTCCAAGTGTACAGAAAGCAGCACAAGATTCTTTTCACAGATATAGACAAACAGTGACCATTGATGCACTGGCATATTTTTTTGTCTTTTTTTTGTTTTCAGGACAGCACGATAGCTGGAAAGCAAGTTTATGGACAGACAGGTCATATAAACACATGGACAGAGCTGAGTAAGGCAACGTTAGCGTGGCAGGCTTCTCTCTGTTCAGTTTGCAGGGCAGTGTAGTGTATTGATCTCCAGCGAGCGCTCAATACCTTTGCTGTGGGGCAGTGTGATTTTTAGCATTGCTGTCTTCATTAGTGCATTGTATATAGTCTTTTGCGTGTAGCTGTTCTGCAAAGTGATCACTAACATTTATACAGATCTAAATAAACCATGTTTGATTGCATCTGGACTTACAGTGACTATAGAAGAGTAAATAGAATTGAAAAAACCAAATAACGGAAAAAGTAAAATTCAAGGCAGTGCTGAAGTACTGGTTGCTAAAAAAGTAAAAAATATCACAAAGCCAACAATAACATTTCCTTGACACGTCTTTTTGTTTGTCCAGTCAGTACAAACCCTCTTTAGTGCAGTTTCAATCATATATATATATATTTCTCCCTCTCACCCAAACACAATATCTCGCGGCCCTATCCTATCTTCGCTCATTCAAGTCAGTTTTCCAGTCAGTGTGCGTCTTTTCTCGTTCTTTTCTTTGATCCCTCGTACTGACCTCATTGTGCACCCTCCCCACACAACCACAAAGAAGCATGAAAGGCTTAAACATCACAGGACTCAAAGGTGAGAAGTTCTTTCTTTTGACGATGGCAGGAAGTGATGGCAGGAGGAGGAGGAGGAGGAGGAGGAGGAGGAGGAGGAGGAGGAGGAGGAGGAGGAGGAGGAGGAGGAGGAGGAGGAGGAGGAGGAGGAGGAGGAGGAGGAGGAGGAGGAGGAGGAAGAGGAGGAAGAGGAAGAGGAGGGTTGGGGGGTATTCACAGTTACAGTCAGAGTCCATCGGTCCAGCTACAATCACATCTGCTGTCATTATGAACACTCTTGTTTAGACCTCGTCCAGGGGAGCGAGCCTTTAAAAACCTCTCGTTCCTCCGGCTTCATCACACCTCCAGCAGCTCCATCCTCAGGCGATCCCTGTCGGAAACACACAAACATGCAACAAATCGTGAGGTCGTGATTGTACACTTCCTGTTTAAGGAGGCTTGCGTACGGGTTAAATCGCCTCTTGGAAATCCATCCCATCAAAGACAATTGTCATGATTTATTCACATATATTAGCATGCGCTCTCGATCTATAATTCAGCAGGCCAGACTCCTACTTCTCTAAAAATAGCGTCTTGAACACAGACCTTTGATTGCCTGAAGAAGCAGCTCAGCGTGAGTACCTGTACACTTCTTCTCCTGCCTCCTTTTTACTGTACATCACTGAACCACCACTACAAACTACAAGCTGTCAGGCTTTCATCCCGGCATCTGGCTTACATTGTTTTTGTTTTCCTTGATTGATAAATGGCACTACGACGAAGGCGCTGTGAACGAGAATCTTACTAGAGTTGGAAGAAGTACTCAGATCTTGTACTTAAGTAAAAGCAAAACCACCAAAGAACAGGAATACTCTGTTACAAGTAAAAGTCCTGCATTCAAAATCTTACCTAAGTAAAAGTATTAAGTACCAAAAGTAATCATTATGCAGATATACCCATTTCATATAATATATATTTATGTTTTGATTATAATTATTGATGCAATAATGTGTTTATCTAAGCTGGTGAATACTATTGTACACTGCAGGGTAGTTTGTTGATTTTACTCCAAGTGTAACGCAAGTCTTATTTAAGTGTTGATTTAATATCAATAATCAAAATATGCAAAGTAACTAAAGGTATTAAATAAATGTAGTGGATTCAAATTACTCTATTAACCTCTGGATTATAGTGGGGTAGGGGTGGCAAAACATGGAAATACTCAAGTAAAGCACAAGTATCTCGAAATTGAAAGTACAATACTATAGAACATCTACTGAGTCACTGATGACGGACGTACCTGGCCTGATTGGCGTCACTCTGTTCGATGAGTGCCTGCGTGGCCTCCGGCTGCTGGTGGTCCTCGGCCCTCTGGGCCCAGGGGTCCTGCAGGACTACGGGCTGCGCTGCCTCCTCAGCTCGGCCTCGATCCACACTCCCCTCGGACCCCATCAGACCCAGCAGCGGGGAGAATGAATTCTGCCACACAACCCGCGCGTTCAGTCCTGCCTCTCCTTCAAGGTGCTTGTTCACGGCGAGCTCAACAAGTTTCTTTTTGGCTGCCGGAGCGTCCTTCTGCGACTCGTCATCCGCTTCTCCGTGGCTCCTCACTTCCTCTGTCACTGGTGGTAGCCACTTCGGCTGCCCGTTCTTGTGGCTGTAGCGGCTATCGCTGAACCAGCGCACCACCTCCGACTTGGGAAGGCCCGTCTGGCCGCTCAGCTCCTCGTACTGCTGACTGCTCGGCCAGCGCGTGGTGGAGAACACCTGGCGGAGGATGTGCAGCTGCTGGGGGGTCTTGTTGGCCCAGGGCGGTGAGAAAGACAGCACCTCGGCTATCTCGGACTTATGATCCCGATGTGCAATCTCAGCCGTAGTATCTGGTTCGTTAATCTTCAGCCTCTTAAGGTTGATCTTGATGGGATTGATCTTCAGCTGCGGACCGCTTCTGTCTCCAACATACGGGTTCTCGTCGTTGATTAGTTGCTGTAGGATTGACATGCCTTTTATGGGAACGTCCTTGTTGCATTTACCCTCGTCTAAAACAGAGGATTTCTCAATGACACAAGTGCTGGTGCTCTCAGTTGGGGATTTGCTGGCATGGTTCAGGTTAGGGACACTGTCATTACAGGGAGTACTGGGGTGTTCATTGATAATACTGCTGTTGTTGCTCTTGTTGTTGATGCAATCGTCGTTCGGTTCAGCTGCGTTGCCCTGCTCTTGTGGACTGATGATGCCGTTGTTGTGATTGTTACAGGTGATGGTGAATTTGCTGGTGCTGTCGATGATCACTTGACTCTTGGGGCCGTTTGAACCTCCCAATCTAATTGGCGAACTGCTTTGGACGTTTGCTTTCCTGTTGGAGTTGGCAACACAGTGCTCATCATTATTGCTAATGTTGGTAGAGCCAGTGGCGAAGATGTTATTTGGGCTGCTGTTTTGCACCGGTTTCCTGTTGTGAGTCTCAACCCCATTACTACTGCTGGAATAGCTGCTGATGCTGCTGCTGCTACTGCAGCTACTGTTGCTACTGCTGCTCCGGCTGCTGCTGGTGCTACTCACACAAACGCCGCTTCCAGCCATATCCAAGCTCAGGCCATTGCTCTTGTGTGGCTCCACAGTGGGTTGAATACTCTTGGTCAGTACCTGCGTTGTTCTGACAACAGATGGGAACCTTGGGGGGAGAATTGGAGTAGAGTACGAGACCCTGGTGACATTGGGGTTGGTTGACATGCTTGTTTGTGTGGCTCCGACAGGCCTTTTCAAACCACCAAAGGGAACTTTGGCCATCTGAAAGTTTGGTCCTTTTGAGCCTGCGTGGACAGTGTGGTGGGTTACAATGTGATTGACGTGCCGTTGTACAGCGGGTTGCTTCTGCGGCGCTCCACCCTGAAACACAGTGTTGAACATCTTCCTCCTGGCCTCGTCGATCTCTTCCGGAGACCAGCTGATGCCCTGCTTGAGCCTTTGGGCGGTAAACCACAGTTTGATCTGCTCCTCTGGGAACTCTGAGACCACCGTTAGGTAGCAGAGCTCGGCTTTGGTCGGGTAGGGGAATTTGCCAAAGGATGTCTTGAGAAAGCTGCTGGTGTCCATGGCGGCATCGTAGGTGGGGATACTGCTGAGGGGGATCATCACCTTTGGAAGGTCTCCATTGGATTCAGAGGGGGAGGAGTAAAGGGAGGGAGTGTGCTGGTGAAAGACTTGGTTGGGCACTGTCGTCCTCGTCACGTGAGCGACAGTTGTCCTCGGCATAGCTGGGGCGGCAGAAAGACTGAGAGCCCCGTTTTGGAGTTCAGGCACATTTGTCATCATGCTGGGGTCTACATCCTTTCCAGTGTCTATCTTGCGTACCTCCACGGTGTGAGAAACCACAATTTTTTTGTGCTCCCCCTTGCTTTTCATCATCTTTGCAATTGGTGTTTTTGTGAGGGAGATTGAGCATTCTCTGTAGTCCTCTCCGCTCTCGGTGAAGAGGCTCTGCTCCACCGTGGTTACTCCATCCCTCTTGTTGACAGTCAGGGAGGCAGTGACCAAGCCCTCCATTATCTTAGGGTGGGCGGTAGCATTATGGAGCGCCAGAGCCTCAAAGCGGACGACCGACACCTCACAGTTCAGGCAGTAGAAAGTGGGCTGAGCCCTGAAGTCTAAGTGGCAGTTGTGCATGTGATCCAAAAAGTAGTTTAGATCTCTGGACTCGAAACGGCACTTTGGACAGCTGTATGCACCTCCTTTCTGCATCTCGCTGCCACTGTCGGATTTGGAGGAGCTGTGAGAGAAATGGCCAGACTTTTCTCCAGAGATGCTGAGTATGCTGTCTTCTGGGATGGTTGGTAGCAGTTCTGGTAGCGAGCCCAGTATGATTTCCTCACGCACATGTTTGGATTTGGATGGTATCATGCATGGTACCGTGGATTTCCTCTTGCTGGCCATGATGCAGCTCTGTGTTGATGGAGAGTGAGTGATTGCTTGTCCGGTGTGATGAGAACAGAGGGCGGGTGGAGAGGGTTTAATGAAGTTTAGTGTCATGGACCAGCCACTATGATATCACAGTGTTGCTTCATGCCCTCTGCAGGACTCCTGTCACATGGACAAGTTTAACAGCTCCAAGGGAACCTGTGGGGAAAGAGGACAAAAAACAGACATGTGACTCTTTTATTTTTAATCTGGTATAAAAAAGCAGTATATGGCACCAGAGCATCAACACAATTACAGATAAAAAACTGTTTTATATGGAAGGCAGTTTATAATTCTGCTTTAAGAAAATTCCAATATTAAATTCATGCATGATGTATTTAAGTAAGCAGGATGATGAAAGATAAAGCCCCCACACTGGGTCTACATCCTTTCCGTGTAGGTGGTATTTATCAGCAATTATAGCAGAACATGAAAAGAGTCTAGGGCTTGTATTTGGAAAAAAACCTTTTACATTATGCCTATAATTATGAAAGTGGATTTCGTTCTCTAGACAAATGTTTTTATTTTTAAATTGGCAAAGTGTGTACACCATTAATATTAATATTGGACATATTAAATATATCAAGTAAATCTACAAAACAATAATCCAGGGCACTAAACTCAGTCAATCAACTCAGCCTGTCAAGGTTCTAGTAATTATTGTAGATTTAAAGACTCCTGTCATTTTCTATGAATTCAGAAAAAACAGCATGTAAATCGACAGAGACAGAAACGGCAGTCTAATTCACGGCTGCCGTAGGTTTGGCTCTCCTTATTAGCCTTGGCACCAATCCACAGAATTAATTTTAGAGCAGCCTCATGATATTAACAAAACATGTAATAAAAATGGCGGTTGGCACCAAAGTTAATATCATATTTATAACGTGATGTTTGTATCAGTGTTTGTGGATTATTGTCACCAGATGCCACCTGCCCGCCTCCTGGAAAGAGTTAATATCAGTATATAAATATCATCCGCAGAATACCTTGGGGATTTTGTACCTACTGAGTGAGAGGCACTTCACTCCAAATTGATAAATCCGGGTGTATTTAACCTCACCAGCTGCCACACATTGTCTGCATCAACCGAAAATATGCAAAAATATGCATGTGTCTGTTTGTCTACAAAAAAATATTTGGGTAAGCATTTATTTTTCGTGGAAAGAAATCGGGACTTAAATAATATATAGAAAAGTGTCACATGCTCTGAGTTGTGCAGTCTTTGGTTTTATGTTATGAAGAAGACATGTGAAGGTTAAATGACTGCACTGGAGTGTGAGCGTTTAACCGCCACGTTTGGATGGCAGCCATCGGACGTTACAGTGATCCTTCCCAGCATAATGTAATGTCAAGAGGGGAAATCAGGTGACTAGTGTGTGTGTGTGTGTGTGTGTGTAAGAGTGTGTGTGTGTCCCAGCAGTCAGCTAACAACAGTTTTCATAGGATCTGAGAAGCTAAAAACATCTGAAGCTTTTTCACCAGCTGCAGGATCAGCCCATTTCATCTTACACGTGTTCAACACACAGCATGGCGTCGCCCGCATGCATACGAACACAATACACAGATCCCTGGGTGCACAAATCCATTAGCAAACCACATCGACAGGCTTTCACTCCCTCTAACACTGCAGTCATGAGGATGGATCCGGATTGTCTCTGCAGGCTGTTCTTTCTACTCTGCATTATAAAGTGAAAAACAGGCCTCTGTTCTCTCACAGAGCCACAAATATTCAATAAAGTTTCTAGGACAAGACAATGCGACGACTACAGCCAAGTGTTTCATTCGCGATACGGCTGTTTTTTTATAGTCGTTTTAATCACCGGAAAGTAGAAAACATGTCATAGAAACAATGAGAGAGAATATCAAAGGGGCGCTCTGCACCCTCTGCCCTCCGCATGAACTTCTGACACCCACACAGCCTCCGAATGCCACTCTCTTCTTCTTTTCTGAAGCTGGAGAAGCATTGATGTGCGACAGAAAACTAGTCTCAGCCTATCATTATCTATCCATATCACCCAGGCTTTGACCTCTCCTGCAAGCCTATCATTCTGGAAATAAAAAGCATCAGCGAACATCATCCCAAAAGCAAACCTTGACATCTTGCATTGCATTCTGTCGCTTACAATGAAAACCATATCTCGTACTTTTTTCCAACTCACATTTTTCTTTTGTTATGCTGCCTTTGAACCCCGTGGAACGCACTTTCACAGACTTTCGTCACTGCATCCACGGCCGGCTGGATGGTAAATAAAAGATGAACCTGTTCCAGAATTAAAACCCTCAAATGACTGCCCGTCGGTCCCAGACAGGCTCACGTCCTCATACCTACCTACCTTATTTTTTTTATTTATACTGACTGGCTGACGGGAAAAATAACAAAACAAACAACAACAAAAAACTAGGCCACCAGCATCTTATGCAGTAATCCCGGTTCACTGCATCCAGACACGTGCGAGTGCTGTATGTTTTGTCGCCAGAGAGGTCATGATATCCTCTGACGGCTCCCTCGGTTAACCCCTGTTGAGGACACGGCTTTCATTGAGTTTCTTTCCACTGAACGAGGGATTTAGGAGCCAGCTTTCACACAGCCGAGGGACGCAGTCAGGCACATCTGAACATCTGTGTGAGAGATGTCACTATGCTATGGAACAGATCAGTGATTCATTGTGTTTGTCCCAGAGCGGTGGAAAGTAAGTAAGTACATTTACTCAAGTATTTTACTTTGATGTACTTTACTTGAGTATTTCCATTTTTGCTACTTTGTTCTTCTACCTCACTACAGAGGTAAATCATATACTTTTATTTAGTACCTTTAGTTACTTGGCAGATTTGGATGAATACTTATACCTCACAAGCTACCTTACAGCATACAAAGCAGTTAAAATGAGCTCCATGGTTACCAGCTTTGATAACACTCAATAATTATAATCAAAACATATAATATATATTATTCTGAAATGGGCTCATCTGCATAATGAGTACTTTTACTTTTGGTACTTTCAGTATATTTTGATGCTAATACTTTTGTACTTTTACTTGAGTAACATTTTGAATGCATGACTTTCACTTGTAACAGAGTATTCATAAACTCTACTTTTACATAAATACAAGATCTGAGTACTTCTCCTACTCCCGCATGATAACTAAGCGGTGAAATGGTGTAGAAGCCCAGAAGAGGGGATGCCAAATAAAACCCAGGACGAGCCATAAGTTGATAAAGGTTACGTAAAGAATCAAGTCACCTAAAAGAACAGGCTGCTTTGTCTGGTGAGCGAGACGTGCAAATCTCAAACACCTGCGTTAGAGATGCCACTGAGCTATGGAACAGATCAGTGTTGAATTTTCTTTGTGCCACACACAGCATGCCGTAAGTTGCAGAACATAAAGTGATAACGAAGCGGTGAAAGGGTGTAGAAGCCCTCTAACCCAGCAGAGGGGATGCCGGTATGAGAAACCCCGGGACAAGCCAAGAGTTGAGAAAGGTTACGTAAAGAATCAGGTCACCTGTGAAAAGAAGGGGCTGCTTTATCTGGCGAGCGAGACGTGCGATCAGACACAAGACAAGGGCTTCCCAGACAGGGAGCCGTGAATGGTGTCTCTGAAAAGCCGGGCCTTGTGTTTCGAGGTATGATCGCTGTCCCCTGTGTGTCGTGTGTCCTCGCACTGGCACTGGATCCACGGCACGGGGGGAGGAAACTCTTTTCAGGGGGGGGGGGGAGGGAGTCGTACTGTTTTCATCTCCGCAGACCGGGGGAGTCGTATTGGAGGCGAGGAGGGGGAGAACGTGGCAGCTCTCAGACGTGCTTTCTCGAACACCCACGCTTAGCGGAGGGTCCTTGTTCGCCACGTCTCCGCCATTCAACTTTTCAAAAACAAGCGTTTCAAAACAAATGGGATTAGGCTAGGTTTTAAATTCTGATGGGATTTATACGCTCCGCCTCATTTAAAAGCAGCTTTAAGATTTACAGGAGGGGCCTCCCTTATGCGCTCTTACACTCGTCATTTCCATAACAATATTATATTTACATCTCATTAATATTTAATTATATTCTTTATACTTTTACATGGCAAACAGATGAGTGCGCTGCTCCCATCTCAGCGAAAAACCAATTGAAAGAAAGCAGCGTGTATTCCCTTTCATCACCTCATAAACTGCTGCAGTAATTACAATATTACAACAGGAGAAACACGCTCAATGTGCGGAGAGCTGCTACCAGCGGACAGGGAGGCGAGGCGGCAAAGTGGTTTGCTAAACATTACAATTTAATTCAAAACAGCCCACTGATTCAGACACTCCCAGATTGTTGGGTCACCTACAGTTGACATTAACAAACAGAGATTGGTGTTTTGTTGTGCCACCTGTCACATGAATGAGAATGCGGAGGCTGGAGGAGGAAGAAGGACAAAGGAAGACAAAACTCATACATTTGGGAGTGAAGTGAGAGGATGACTGATGGTGATGACAGGCTCTGCTGTTTCAATATTCCTCCCCGCTGACACCTCGTAGGCACACACACACACACACACACACACACACACACACACACACACACACACACACACACACACACACACACACACACACACACACACACACACACACACACACACACACACACACACACACACACCTCACCTCCACAACATTTAGCACCTGCACCGTGCTGAAAATCTTCCTCTTTGAAATGAATAACTGGCAAGGAGTCTCTTGATGTCGCAGAAGAGCTAAGAAAAAATGAAGCGGCATAAAATCGTAGTATTAGTTTTGCGTGTCATTTGTTTTGACAGTGATCTGCCGCTGTCTTGAGTTTCCAAAAATATCTGCCAAAAAATGACCTGCCTCGGGGTTTGGGCATGGAGGGGGGGGGAACTCCTGATGGATACATTTGAATGATCAAAAATAATCTGTTTAGCAGGGAAATGTTCTAGCAAATGTCCATTAAATAGATTAACGGCATGTGAGTGGATCAGCTGGACACCCAAATATAAGCCAGAGACAGAGAGCAATTACTGTCCTCCTCAGAGGAGAGATTGGGAACAATGGCGCCACATTTATAAGGGAAAACGTGATCCAGCCTGACTGTAAGAATTATGATTGTTCTGTTTTTTCCTGGGTGTCTCCTGTGTCCATCACGCCGACACAGTGGAGTAGTGTGAGCTTTTATTTTATTGACAGTAAAGATGGACAGGTTTCAATTATGGGGACATCTCTGTGTGAATGGCACTGTACGCTTGCCAGAGTAAATGAGTGTCAGGCTCTAGTGTTACGTGTGCTGAAAAACAATTCAGACTCATCAGCCTCCTTAGCATGAGGCTCGTACACACACACACACACACACACACACACACACACACACACACACACACACACACACACACACACACACACACACACACACACACACACACACACACACACACACACACACACACACACACACACACACACACACACACACCGGCGTCTTCAATGTCCAGCTGAACACACGCCGTTACTTCAGTGTGTTTCCTCCGTCTCCCCCGCGGACTCTTTTTTATTTCTCCATGGGTGTGTTTGTGTGCTTATTAGTGTCTGAATGCCTGAGATGCAGGTGTTGTCAGCCTCACACACACACACACACACACACACACACACACACACACACACACACACACACACACACACACACACACACACACACACACACACACACACACACACACACACACACACACACACACACACACACACACACACACACACGCACACACACACACACACACACATTCCCCCCTTACCTCCATGACTGCAGCTCCGTCCACTGGGAGACCGGTCGGTGGTGCCACTCATGTGTTAACATTGCCATGGCAACCCCTCTCTTCCCCTTGCCCACCACGCCACACACACACACACACACACACACACACACACACACACACACATACACACACACACACACACACACACACACACACACAACACACACACACACACACACACACACACACACACACACACACACACACACACACACACACACACAACCGAATAACTCGCCCACACCCACGACCTCAAAAGACACACACACACAGTGAATTCCTTGGACTGCATCCGGTGCAGGACAAACTTAATCCACATGCTGCCATCCCTTAGAAGTCTATTCATGGGTCTCTTTCGGATAACTTTGGGTGAGGTCCGCAATAACAACTTGGCTTTTTCTTCTTTCTCAATCAGCTCCGCCTTTCTCGTGTTCACGACGGAGGTTGATGAAAGAAATATCGCGGGCGTACAGATGACCTCCTGTCACAATGTTTCTGTCTCAGTAAATCAGCGCAGAGGCCTGCAGACGGAGGCGCTTTCACTACATTCACTCCGGCTGTCTGAGCCTCTTTTTTAGCCAAGTCCTGTTTTGTGTTAGGGCGAACGCTAACTGATTAAATCTTACATTGTTTTATCTGTGGCCCAGATGAATGACAGACAAATAAACCATGGTTCGCAGAGAACGAAAGAATAAAATCTGAGTCATGCATCCGTTTAAATCACTTTTGATGAATAACTTCTTCAGTTCAGTAGCCAAGACTACAGGCATTCATTTGGCAACTTAAGGAGAAAAGGAAGAAAGATGGCGGCGCACCGCACATTGTACTGTCCATCCTAAAATGGCTGACATCACAGCCTCCTATAACTGCCAAAGACTGGCAAATGCCAGCTCCTGCTGACCAAACCTTTCTTGCATGGGACAGAGAAAGTGGCAGGGGCTCTTTCCTTGCTAGCCCCAAGGTTCCCCCCCCCCTCACGGTGCTCAAGCGTTTCTTTTGCTTGGAACTGTGCAAACATGCTGTTTTAGTGAGGCTTTGAGCGGTCTGGGCTTCGATACGGCATTGGTCCGGTGACAAAAGCAATACCAAAAGGGATGAAAGACGCACATAAAACTGAACCTGTATAGAACGCCGTCCTTTCTGTAGGAGAAAAATAGGACTCTGCATTTTCTGTGAGGATCATGAGGTATGCCGCGGTCTTGAATGCTTGTTTGTGTTAAAAAAGAGCGATTTGGAAAATAGATGTGGTTGGTGTTAGATTAGATTTTCTTCTCCTCTGAACTCAAGGAATGTTTTACACTCCATGTCAAGTAAATCTACAAATCATGACCATATGACCTTCCTCTGTATGCTCTGGCAGGGGATTCACTTTGAGCTGTGGGAGGCACACAGAAACACAACATACACAGTGTTGTTGGAAGTAAGAACACCAAATCCTGAAGAGTACAGTGTTCCAGGTATACGAGGGGCGGCATGTGCCGAGACGCTGTTCTCGCTGAGGGGAGCAGTGGGCAGTCTTGGCCCGCTACATTGTGTCTGTGTATACAAACACTGCGCTGTGGCCATAACGAAAACTGTGAGCTGGGCCTAATTGCAGGGAGAGACGGATGAAAGGCAATATGCCTGGCCTCATTAGAGCAGTTCCGAGAAGGGAGATGGAAGACTGTTCCCAGGGATCCACAAAGGGAATTGACATTCCCCCAGAGTAAGCGTCCTGCCGGAGTGAAATCCTCCACACACTCTCAACTCACCGGGCCCAGAACCCGATCTGCCCGGATCTGCCCAGCAAGAGCTCATTTACCTTTGTATCACACACAACTTTCGGAGAGCAGAAATGTCCCCTGGACTCCACACACACTTTGGAGTCACTCCCCACAGACCGAACACCCACTCTCTCAGGAAAACCTCAAAATGTTAACAAACTTTAATGGATAAATAATTAAAAAACATTCCAAAAATTGCCCATGATTCATGCCTGTCTAGTTTGTATAATCTGGGGTTGTTTCTTGTGTTATGGACAATGCACACAGATCGGCAGGCAACATTAGTCAGCACAGAGGTCCTACCGCTGAGGGCAGAGGGAGACACATGGCATTCAAAGCTGGCACAATATTTACGTATGGGTAGAAAATGTGACCATACTGAGCTGATATTTTAAATACGATGCCTCAAGGATAATCCACAGTTTGCTAAAATATCTCCTGAAATCAGCAGCTTTACTGTTCTGTATGTTTCTGTGCGTGTGTACGTGTGTTAGTAGGGCAGCAGCACATGTTGGCAGGAGCAAGAGGAGGAAATGAAAGAAAAAGAGTCCTGTGCATAGAGATACAGGCCTACCTTTTCTGCTCAGGCAAGAGGAAGAAATGTGTAGAGAGAGTGAGAGCGATCAATAGATGGAAATTGATACTTGGCGTGCAGTTTTGAACATCTATGGACTCTTAAATCAGTCGTACCGCCCGCTATAGCACTGCTTTTGGAAGTCTTTCACAACTAAATAAGCACTCACACTCACACAGCCTAGTGGGGGAAATACAGAGCGTTGTGCAATAAAATAAGCAGATACGCCACATTGTATAGCGCAAGGAGGAGCGCACATTCAGCCAGACGGAGGCTCGGTTTGTTGTAACTGTAACAAACTGACGAGTTAACCCGTTTCTCTCCATTCACACGGCTGTGGGGCAACACACCGCCTCGAAGTGTACTTGCCAAAGGCGATCTGGCACTCTATATAACCTTATGAATATTCCCAAAAAAACTCCACCCCCCTCCTCCACCTACTGTCGCCATTTTATACATTGGCGACTTCATATAAACTGCCTTGACTACACAGCACCAGATGAAAATGCAATATTCAATAGCGAGGCTTAATTTCAGTAAACAACTTTTAGAGAACGCGCCCTCGACAACACAGAGAGAGGTATTATTTTTTGGAAGAGTAGATCCTTACCTCAACAGTCGGTGGGAAAAAATTGAATCCGACATGAATATATAAATGAATAATATTGGATTAGCTCCGATCGTTGCGTTTGGAGAAGAAGAGGAGGCGAGCAGGGGGTGGGAGCTCTCCTCAAGTGAACCCGGTGAACTGGCGTGAACCCGTCAGTGACCACGGTAAGGTACATTACATTATATTACCTTTCCACCCTTCAGCCACACTGTATGGAGACGGCAAAACAACTACGGTTGGCGGCGCAGGACGAGGCAGCTCCAAAAAATTATAGCGAGTGTATTTCCTATGGACACGTGATTCGGAGCGTCATCCAAAATCCAAAAGCCCTTTCATGTAAAATGTTGGAGAGGGGCGGGGAGGAGATGGAGATGTGTGTGCGGGCGTGTGTGTAGAAGGGGAGGAGGGGGGTACGTATACTGAGCCCCGTGCACATTTGGGTATGTCGTTATAGGGGTAAGGCAGAGCTCTAGCTGCAGATTGGGTTATACACATAGGTTATACATAGCTACAATGGCGCCGCGGAGCAGGCAGAGCAGATGTAATGTATTGTGTACATTTGGAATTGACAGGAGTTTCGTGATCGGCCGTTTGAGTGAGCTTCATCATCCAAAAGCTCTTCTTAATTAGGTCCCATTGTTGTTGTTTTTCAAAATACTGCTGACGTTTTGAGAAAAGAAAAAAACACTTGATAGGCTACTCTGAATATTAATCGGTGTGGGAATTGCCATTTAAAGCACAGGCCTATTAGCCCAAAGGCTTTAAATAGACTTTTACGCACACGCGTAAAAGTGGTAGATTACGCAGGTGCAATGAAACCTAGTGGTTCATATCCACTATCGTAGTTGAATATGAGAAGACTATCTTTCCTCGAAATCAAATGACCAATGTTAGTTATGTCTCGTTTTGAAGAATAGGGGCTACCGGCTGTGACCCTCGTGACCTTGTTGGCCTTATGTGCCGGGCCGCGGAAAGCGCAGAGACCCTAAACCAGTTTGCATTAAGGGTCTAATGAAAAATTTAATTAAAGGTGGTAAAATATTTTTAAAACATATGGAGAAAACATATCAACAAGTCATTACAAAAAGAGAAGTGGACTAGCGCAGCAATAGTACACAAACAAGTATTAAGTGTGATACATAAAGTAGAGTACTACAGGTTTTTGTAGAGAAGCCTATTAGAGATATCATTGTAATATTATGGATATATGTGTACACTTGGCTACCTGTATGTGTAACAGGTAGCGGGACTACACAGTAAGAGGCCTACAGCATGAGCAACACTTACAACATCCTTAATGCCTTGTGTAAATATGGACATATAGGGCTACTACTACAGGCCTCCATTATTAAGGAAACGCGGATTTGCTCTTCCCTCCCAGTTTGTCCTGACTGGGTTCAGACGTTGCCTGTAGCTGTACAGTCATGACAAACAAAGATTTCTAGCAGGAAGATGGATCACTCTATGGTAAAAAACAAAGTGAGATGTGCAGTATGCATTAACTGGTATCGTACTATAGGAATAAAATAAGCGTTGCTAAAATATAAGATTTTCTTGATACAGTTATACATTTGTGGCACATATATGCTTGTATATAGTTATGGAAAGGATACCAGCAGTCATGGCTCAATACGATATATATTTGTACTTATTAGCAAACAGTTTCTGTATTATATTGTGTACTTTGGGGGAGTGTGTGTGCGTTCCTTTTCTTTGGCACTATCTCCTGTATTGCAGGCTTCTGTCCCCGTAGGCTTATGCACAGCAGGACATTATCCTTTTTGAATACTGATTAGAGGTTGCCAAGATGGAATGCTTTCCTCTTGATTATCTTCTAATTGTAAAAAATAACATGCTGGTTTGTTTAGGATTTAAGGTGTATAATCATTTTCTACATTTGAATTTTCTGGAAGACCATTTTCTGGAATTCTATTTAGCTGTTCAGGTTTGGATGAAGGCGAGGCTGTTTGCAAATCATAGACCATTTTTATTGTAGTTTGTAGTCAATTCAAGTTCATGCACAGCATCCACCACAAGTAGATACTGTTGCTATGGTTACCCAGTGTGTGCACCTTACGCACTGGTTTACAAAGGAAGTATGTCATCTTAACGTGCACTTTCTCTGACCTTGACATAGCTGAGTATTCAGAAGAAAACTCTGTAAAGATGTATTGGCTTTGAGTGCTGCTCTGTTCCCACTTTCAGTTTGCCCTTAAAGCTTTATTACATTTTTGTATTTGGTTATGTTAACATTTTTATTATGCTTGAGGGAGCCTCTGATATTTTAGTTTCTATCGACTGCTTCTCTGTTCTTGGTGTGCTTTTGATAATAAAAATCTTCCTTACTATGATAGATGACAGCCAAGTGAGCAGATGGGAAATCTACTTTCTATGTGTCTAATTTAATCTAAAGTGAAAGATAAACCATGTTTAGGAAGTGTAGGAATACTCTGTTACACATACAGTCCTGCATTAAAATGTTACTCAAGTGAAAGTACAAAAGTATTAGCATCAAAATATACTTAAAGTACCAAAAGTACTTATTCTGCAGATTGGCCCATTTCAGAATAATGTATATGATACGTTTTGATTATAATGTTTTGATGCATTAAAGTGTTATCAAAGCTGGAAACCCGCAGCTAGTTTTATTTACTGCAGGGTAGCTTGTGAATTGACTCCAGGTGTAACTTAAGTCTGATTTAAGTGTTGATTATATTTGACATCATTAATTAAAATCTGTAAAGTAACTAAAGGTATTGAATACATTTTATTGATTGAAAGTACACGATATACCTCTGAATTGTAGTCGGTATAAGTACAAAGTATAATACAAAGTCTCTCAAAATTGAACTTAAGTACACTACTTGAGTAAATCTACTTAGTTACTTTACACCATGATATTTAAGTGAACGAGAAACCATTGGCAGAAAGTGGGTGTTTTTAAATGTTCTTTTTTGTTTGTTTGAAACTGAGAATAGAGGATCCTGGTCCCAAGGAATCACAGAGTTCATGGTGCCCGGATAAAGCGTCAGAGTGAAGCCTCTCTGCTCCCAGCTGCTATGTGCTCTGTAACCGGATCAGGCCAGAGAGAGGGTCGGACCGGAGGATTGTTTGCCTCCAAACGAGCCAATGAGACCGGCTTTACATTAGACTGACAGCCCGCCTCATCGAGCCGGGAGACGCCAATCTGGTCTGACAACTTTCAGACAGCCAATACGAAGAGGAACGGAGGGAAAAAATCCAAATACGAATCTGGCTTCCTGTAAGGTCGAACACGTTACCTCTCACCTCACCTGAGCGTTTGGAGGAGAAAGGGGAACAAATCGTGGCGATGTCGCAGTGCCTTGAAGACTCACCTCTCCGGTTAGGGACCAAACTCATCGGGGAAGACGAGCTGAAGCTGCAGGAGCTGTACAACGAGAGGCACCGGCTGGCTCTGGAGGAGCTGCTGTCGGGAGGAATAGACAACTTTCTGGAGTTCCTCAGGAAAGAGAGGATCCCCAACTTTCTGTCGGACGATGAGATGCAGCGGATCCGCAGCGCTGCTGTTCCTCCTCCGCGGTGTGTGTCTTTCCTCGGGGAGGAGCAGGGCACGGAGCTCAGCAGCTCGCTGGACTGCTCCTCAGTCACGTATTTCCCCGAGGTGTCGGACGTGGAGCCGCCGGTGCTGGAGCTCGGCTGGCCGGGCTTCACCGCAGGCTCGTACCGGGGAGTGACGCGGGCCGTGGCGCACTTCCAGCCGAGCTACGGGGAGAGCATCTACAGCTGCAAGGAGGCTGCCAGGCGGATGATCCAGAGTGCCAGAGAGGTATGCACAAACACCTATTAAAACCACAGCAGTTTAAAAAAAAATCGAACTACCACGTTTAAAAAAATGTAATGGTTTTACTGCTACATTACTGCTTAATTTCCTTTAGAAATATCTGAAGGAACATGCTGTGCAGTATGTAGTTATAGTCATGTTGTACTTTCTACTCCCCCATATTTTTACAATTACTTTTCCAAATAGTTCCTGATAGTATTTATTAGGCCTGACTGCTACAGTAATGGCAGTATGGTCTGTGGTATCATCCTAAAACTGTTGTTTTAATATTTGTCATTCCATCATCAAATGCCCCCCTGTCACAAAATGAGTGAGTGTATAGTCACTTATTAAACTTTTTTGGAGGGAAAATCTAGTTTCTGTATCTTCATTGTGTTGGAAAAGTGCCAGAGAGGTTTGTAAAAACTATTAAAAGCACAGCTGCCGCCTTTAAAAAATACTCTCGATTTGGCAACTGATTATATTATTTCCTTTAGAAATGTCCTGCAGGTACATGAGGGAACATGGTGTACTATATCCAGTTTTAGTAATTTTTGTATTTTCTACTCATCCATATTTATAATAATAACATTACAATAGTTTCTAATGGTATTTATTAGGCTTAATTGCTTTTTGGTATCATCCTAAAACAGGGTTATTTTTTAAAATATGTGTCAAATTCAAGTATAAAATGCCCCCGCTGTCACAAAATCAGTGAGTGTATATAGTCACTTATTGAACTTGTTTTGGAGGGGAAATCAAGTTTCTACATCTTCTTTGTGTCATCCTTAAAACACATGCCAGATTGTCCCTACGGAGTTCCCTTGATCAGTGAGTAGATTTGGAAGGTTTTTGATGTGTTGATCAGACAGAAAGTAATGACCAAAAGGATCTAACTAACACAAAAAACTGGCCATGAATATTCATGGTGACGCTTCCTGATGTGAGCTGTCAGTCCGGCATGTTTTTTTTTTTTTTAAAGAAACATTCCTTTAAGGAGGGAGTGCGTGCAGCACCTCAGGCCTGCGTGCCAGATGTGCCTCGACTTGCTGTGCTCCCTTCTATCAAAGTTTGCATTCCCTCTTCATTCAGAGCAATTAAAATGCTGGTTTCCCTCTCTGGGTTGTGGCTGAAAGGATGGTGTGCAGGCAGACAGTTTAAACCAGGGCTGCAGCTAGAGAATACTTTCATTGTAGAGAAATTGGACGATTATTTTTCACAAATATTCCATTGGTTTGGATTCTAAAATGTCAGAAAAAGGGGAAAATGTAAGTTTTCCAAAGCCCAAGTTGACCTCCTAAAATGTATTTCTGTCACCCACAACTCTTACGTCTACAAAGTCATAGAGGAGTAAAGAAACTGGAAAATATTCACATTTGAGAAGCTAGAATCAGATTTTTGTACCTTATTTAAAAATATACTCAAACATTAAATGATGATCAGAAAGAAAGGTTGGCAATTAAAATGAATAGTTGACAACTAATCGATTAACCTTTGCAGCTCAAGTCGAAACCTTAATGCAAATATTCTCGTCCAGGTTTACGGTCGGCTGTCCTTTTGTAATGTCAAACCGCTCACGGCACACACAGGATTCGTTATACGAGGCAGCTTACGAGCAACAGCCTGCTCCTGTATTCCACAAAAATGTGTTTTTTACACATTTCCCTAAAAATAAGCAGGGAACTCCTGACTAAGCTGCATATGGAGAACACACAGTTTAAAGAAATACATTTGAGCTATGTAAACATCCATGTCTAATCCTCGACACGTCACACAACCTTTACCACAGCGTGTGAAATTCCTCTCGTCCTTGCTATAAAACCAGAGAAATCTCCATTTGAACCTGAGCTTGTGGAGAACAGAGGCTCGTCTCCTGCATGAAAGTATAACTTGTTTGCTGACCAAGCGTTACCGCCAATCGCCATGGTAACAGACCACAGTCAATAGAAAGCTCATCAGCACAAACATTAGGTGACAGATTCACGGCTCTGTTTGAATAAGGTCTTGATCATTTGATAATAATAAAACACAGTCATGTGCTGAGTGTGGCGCTGCTGCAGCTCCTAAAAGGAATTCTATTATATTACCTCTGTAATTTTCCACTGCAGGTGATTGCCATAGTTACAGACTCCCTGACAGACCTGGATATCTTTAAGGATCTTCAGGAGGCTTGCACCCTACGCAAAGTCCCCGTCTACATCCTGCTCGACCAATCGTGTGCTCCGGCTTTCCTCAAGATGTGCAGAAATGTCAACGTTCGCCTGGACGACCTTCGGGTATGTGGTTGGTTGGGTGTGGCTCTGTGTGCACAATAATAACATCAAGATGGCATCAGATTAAAGTGTGCCCTGTAATGGACGAGCCCTGACATCCTCTTCAGATGGCTTTAACAAAATCCACCCAAAATGAAATGGGTGAAGCAGCTTTTATTAAATACGCTCCCCAACTGTGTTACACCCTACCAGCAAACATCAGAGACAGACTCTTTCTGCTCTTTACCTTTCTGTTTCTATTTATTTATTTTAGTTTTATTAGCGATATCCCCTTTTTAAATTGGTATTTTAATCTTTCTTATTCAATTTTTTTTATTATTCTTATTTTTTAAATAATTGTTTTATTGTATAGGTCTTTATAAATAATAAAAATAATCTTTATTGTTATTTATTACAGAGAAGGATCATTATTTATTTTATTATCTCTCGTTGTGTATGTGCATGAGGTTTAAGTGTTTGACCTGCAGTTACTTTCTTGTTCTCTTTTTTAATTTGTGATGCAATGTTGTTAAAGCACTTTGAGCTGCAACTAGTTTAAAAAAAATACTAGACAAATAAATCTTCAATATTTGATATGTCTGGTCGTGTCTGCACTAATTTCTCCCTTTGTTCTTCCTCTTTTTTTCCCCTTTATAATCCGTTCAGCAAATGAAAGTGCGAACCATAACTGGTACAATTTATTACATGAGATCAGGAGCCAGGATTACCGGGGAGGTTCACGAGAGGTTCATGCTGATCGACGGCAACAGAGTGGCGACAGGCTCCTACAGGTAACGCCTGCTAAGCATTTTATCTGAAGGCAAATGCTTAAGCTGTGTATTATGCAGCGAGGATATGCCTAAAACCTCCACATCTAACAGAGAGTAATGTAATACCATTTTTCTGTGAAACTTTCTATGACACCCTAGACCAGTGGTTCCCAAACTTTTTGTGCCCAAGGCACACCAAAGGTGTAAAAATCTCAAGGCACACCTATTGTGCAAAATAGCCCTTATAACACGTGTTATCACTCATATCATGTAAAATATCTGTAAATGTGCATAATTATTTACTAATGCCAAATAAAATATACTCAACTATATTACTCATGAAATATTTATTAACGAAATATTTCAGAAATTAATTTGAAACTTTATCAAATTAGGCTTCATCAACGCAGCAACACACTCATTTAAACCAGACAGGTCACAAAATAAAAAACGAGAGAAAGGAAACTCAGCAGAAATTCAGCACAGAGAACTGTCAATGCAAGGAAGCTGCATTGCATGGTCCTGAACTACACATTATAAATGTAACATTTCAGCAATCAGCATTGAAACATGTGCTATTGTAAATATTTTGCCGATTTACAAATTAGTGAGATACAGGTGCCTGTCGGGGCGTGCATAATTAGTTAATCCTTGGTGGCACTGAGGAGAGGGCCACTCGCAAGTCCTGTTCAACAGAGAGCCGTGACCTCCTGTTGTTCTTCATGTAAACCAGAGTAGAGAACGCCAACTCCAGAGATGGGGTCGTTACTAAAAAATGTAATATATTACATATTACTTTTTAAAAAAAAGTAATATATTACACTACTTCGTTACTATCTACATAAAGTAACTCGTTACTTTACTCGCCGAGCACGTACGAACTGCGCATGCGTGAGTGGCAATAACTTTCCTTACCAGCAGGCGGCGGTAGTGTGTATTTGTCATTCAAAACAGGCAACAACCGGAAGACAGAGAAGAAGAACAGACTACGTGATATAAACAAACAATAAATAGCGTGTGCGTTAGCTTCACCTTAGCATGTGTTCTTTGCAGGTGCTTGTTGAGGTTTGACGTGGTGTTTGCAGCAGTGGATAACAGCTTCTGGCCTGGACACAGTTTGCACCTCACCGTCACATTCCTGTCTATTCTTCGGACGAACTCAAAATAATGGACATACCTCCACCCCTCGAGAGTTATCGCTGACTCAGCCATGTTTATGCAGCACTGCACGTGGAGATGTGGACGCGCAGATTACGTACATATAAACCTACAAAGTACTGATATAGTAAATAAAAAAATTATTATTTTTGTGTAGTTAACGATAATAACGTATGGTTGTCACAAAATCCCACGGCACACCCGGACTTGCCTCACGGCACACCCGGACTTGCCTCACGGCACACCAGTGTGCGGCACACCGTTTGGGAACCACTGCCCTAGACTATATTGTATTTTAAACATACTTATGATGCATTATAATCTGCTTATAGAGCTGTTTAATACAAATCTGAAATGAGCGTTAAGGAATGTTCATAATACTTATTATTATGGATTCATGGAACGCAAAATAACCAAGTTCGATATAAAAAAAGTCTTCCGTTCACACGGTATCAGCTCAAGAAACTTGTCCGTTCACACGAGACCGCTGGAGACGCTGTAGTACATATGCCGGGCCTGTAAGTGGCGCTGTACTTCCGCCACAAAATACACCAAAAGCAGCGAAGAAGACCCCCCGAGCATGGTTGCCATGGTTGCCCTTCTGTTTATGCTCCGCGGTGGATTTAGCAACATGTAGTTCATGTAGTTCTCCATGTCCACTTGTTGCTGATGGTTGTGGTAGAGGAGCTGTAGATTTTGCACTAACATCTGTAGCTACTGACAGTAGCTACTGACCATGCTACAGCAGTGAGCAGCAGAGGTGGGGAGAGGCGGGGCTATGGCTTCATCGTTATCAGGAAATGATCGTATAGGAAGTACACACGGAGCCGTTTGGCCCCCCAGAGCGTTCCGTCCGCAGATCTATCCACCTTGGGACCCGTTATCGTTTGAGGGGTCCGTTTCCGCGCTTCCGTTACGGCCTCGTGTGAACGAACGGGCTCTACGAAAGAGAAAAGTAGCAGATACTATGGAGTCAGATTTGGGTCAATATTCTAGCACGCAAAACAAGCTACTCACGAGCGGAAAATGTGCTTTTACACGCGCATGAAATGACCCTCGCGTGCAGATTAAACCCTCGCGCGCAGATTAAACCCCCGCGAGCGGCTATGCGCTCGCTCGCGAGAGAGACAGCCCTCTTGCTCGCTCGCGGGAGTGTCAGCCTCACTCGCTCGCGGAGTCTGTCTACGCGCGTGTGAAAAGTTTCTGGCACTTTGGGGCGGAGCCACCGGACTTTGATTGACAGCTGCCAGGAAGCCCGGAGTTGCCAGGTTTGATAAATGCCTGAACTACCAAGAGCCGAGGAGTGACAGCTGCAAGATCAGGTGGACGAGATTGATTGGTAAAGTTGTCCATAAAAAACTATTATATTCGTAAAGTGTACAGCTAATATATATATATATATTAATTTTATATAAAACAATATATTTTTGAGTGGAAAACTGCTAGCTACTGTCTGCTGTATGCACCTCCCTTACGAAATGAACTATAAATGAATTATAGTATTACTATAAGAGTTGTATAGTGTCCTTTAGTAAGTTTGTAGTGTTCTGTAGTATTTTTCACCAGCTATTGTATTACAATAGTTTTTTCTGTAGTGCCATTTTATTAGCTATAGTAGCCCTATAATATTTCAATAGTAATACTATGTATCTAGATCTTTGTAGTATTCCTATATTATTTTAAATAGTATAACTATAGTATAATATAGTGTTTCCGTAGTTGTTTTTTAAACACACTATAGAACACTCCTAATAGCATGATATTGTCATAGTGAATGCATTCTATTACTATAGTGTTTGTAAAAGTATTACTATAGTGTTTTTGTTGGTCCGTATTAAGACTATATTATTTTAAATAGTACTACTATAGCATAATATAGTGTTTCTGTAGTTGTTTTTTGAACACACTATAGAACACTCCTATAGTGATAGTATGATGTTGTCATAATGAATGCATATTATTACTATAGTGTTTGTAAAAGTATTGCACCTAGAATTAATGTGTCATTTTTTTATATCAAATTAATTTTTATATATATATATATATATATATATATATATATATATATATATATATATATATATTAGCTGTACACTTTACGAATATAATAGTTTTTTATGGACAACTTTACCAATCAATCTCGTCCACCTGATCTGGCAGCTGTCACTCCTCGGCTCTTGGTAGTTCAGGCATTTATCAAACCTGGCAACTCCGGGCTTCCTGGCAGCTGTCAATCAAAGTCCAGTGGCTCCGCCCCAAGGTATCAGAAACTTTTCGCGAGCGAGTGAGGCTGACACTCCCGCGAGCGAGCAAGAGGGCTGTCTCTCTCGCGAGCGAGCGCATAGCCGCTCGCGGGGGTTTAATCTGCGCGCGAGGGTCATTTCATGCGCGTGTAAAAGCACTTTTTCCGCTCGTGAGTAGCTTGTTTTGCGTGCTAGAATATTGACCCAAATCTGACTCCATAGATACAACCCCTTTCGTTCCCGCCTAAATGGAGATGGACATTTTTCACTGTTTATGAAATGTCAGAATCATTTTAGATAATGAAAATATAAGAGTTAGTTTCAGCCCATAGTTGTGATACTTCATATATAATACAAGCTGGTTATAAGACACCTAAAGTAAAGTGAAAACTAACACCAGCTATTATGATTAATTGACCTAATAAGTGATGATAAAAGCTTTGTAATGTGTTATGATAACTGCTGTATTGCATTATGAATATTTAAAGGTGGTTTAACTATAATTATACACGGCTATAAGCAGAGTAACACAGGGTTCCTGCAGCTGCAAAAAAGTCTTTAAACAAAGGGCATTAGATTTAGTACAAACATTTCTTAAATCAATATTCAGTTCGAGAGATTACAATTTTGTATTTATGTATTTCGTTTAGTTTTTATTTGAAATATTTATAATTAATAATAATAGTAAAAATAAACTCTTATCTAAAAGCCTTGAATTAGCATTATGCAAATCCAAAGATTGGATAAATCGCATAAACAATTTATTCCAAATGTTAATTAAAAAAGTAAATATAACTTATTAGCTATAAAGGAAGCCTTTTTAAATGCATTATAAGTATGTTTGTATGAGCCTACTGGAAAGTTTAACCAATTTTTGGTTGATTATGTTGTGTATTTCTGTAATGCATACATGTTTTTAAATCCCGCTCTTGTGCAGGTACAACTGGACCGACGGCAAACTGAACAGCAGCAACCTGATCGAGCTCTCTGGCCAGGTCACAGAGAAATTTGACGAGGAGTTTCGGATCCTGTACGCTCAGTCTCAACCTGTGAACACTCGAGGACCTCCGAGTGTCCGGAACAGCGGCATCTTCGAGCAGCTCCTCATCAAAAACCTGGGGGCCTCCTCCCCTCACCTGGCCAGAGAGAGGCCTCTAGAGTCAGCGCGTCTCACCAGCACACCGAGCCGCAGAGCCTTAAATCTCTCTGTCCAGCCCCCGTGTGAAGCCTCGACTCCAGATAACCACAAAAGCAACCCGGTGTCCAACACCTCCACTTTAGATGAGGACTGGACGCAGGGGCCGCACACGCAGGAGGAGATCCTGGCAGGAAGCACAACTCAGCGTTTATCCGCAGATCAGCTCACAGAGAAAGAACCAGCGAGCTCCATCACCTGCCACGCCTCCACTCAGACCGGCCTGTCGGTGACGGACAGCGACACGCAGACTGACCAACAGATCACGCCTCAAACCCAGGCCGCCTCTCTTTCCTCTCCGAGGCAGAGCTCAGCAGCAGACGGCGCCGTAAAGCACTGCTTCAACCAGCTGAAGGAGGAGCGCCAGCACCACTACTCCAACATCCGCTGCAAGCTGGAGCACATGGTGACCAACCTGTCCCAGAGGCGCGAGCTGGCGGACGTCACCAACATGACTCAGGGGCCTGGAGCTCACAGCCAGCAGAGGGAACACAAAGACAGCGAGCAGGAACCAAACCCCAGACTGCTTGGTGAAAGTGCGGGCATGGGCACGTGGCCAAGAGCCAGATGTGTGCACTAGTTTGTCCTCTGGGATTTTTCAGAAGGAAGGTGGTGGGGGAAGAGCTGTGCCAAGGTTTCTAGAGGATCCTCTGTTTTAAATAAAGGGTTCTGGTTTATGCAGTAGGTTATTTTATTCTTTTTGTAGGTTTTTTAAAGGACTTTATTGTCACGGAGGCGTGTGGCGCAGTGGAAAGGTCCTTGGTGTTGGGATCAGGGGGTCACAGGTTCAAACCCCACTGCAGTCAGCATGTCGTTGTGTCCCTGGGCAACACTTCACCCAAATTGCTCCTGTGGGGATTGTCCACAGTATTGAGTATGTAAGTCGCTTTGGATAAAAGCGTCTAACAAGTAACATGTAATGTAATGTCATATGCACTGCTACAGTGTAGATATGCAAGCAAAGGCTCCTCCAACAATAAAACATGAATATATATAGAAGACAAATCCAAATAAAATAGTGCAAGAGAATATTGCAAGACTAGTTTGCAAATAATGCAGGAGAAGTTAACTAAATGCAACTAAAATAGAATAAGATAAGCTAAAAATAGAATGTAAAATGAATGCTGTATAGTCTGCTTTGCTCACTTTTGTCCTTTTCATTTTGTGTCCTTTCCACGTCTAAAGCTTTATTTGTGTAACGCAGAACTGTAACCAAAGACAGTGCAATAATACTCTTTTTTAAAACATCTCCGTTTAATTAAAAATCATTCACACAGCACAGGCGATTAACACTGGATAATATCTGCTGTAGTTTGAGTGAAAAGTGCTGTTTTGGTTGTTTAATCACAGTTGGCTGCTGTTTCTGCTTCTGAACAACATTCCTGGGGGCTGCTGGCTCTCGCTGCGCTTTGCTAATAAACAAAGTAGTGTTTTGCTAGATGAGTGTTTATTGTCTTTTCTAACATTTCCTACTTATCCACCAGTTTAAGCTGCAATTAAATCATTGTGAGGACTATCTCACAGTGAAATATGTTTAGAAGTTGGAGCACAGTGACAGAGCACCTGTGCTTTATGCACTGCAGTGCCTTCATGCAATTAGCTGAGAGAAGACATCTGTGATACTGGCACCTCTGCTGAAGATTCAGCCAATCACTGTTCCTGTCCAGGGTGGGTTTGGAGTCTCCATCACAGATTACAAACAAGAAATTAGGATGAAGTAAACACTTCCTTACACACAATGGATTTTAAAACCACTGATTACATGCTGTTATATGTGCTTTTATTGTTTTACATTCAACACAGATTCTTGTCAATTAGGGCTGCACAATTAATTGAAACCGCAATATGGAGTAAGTGCCAGAGTTGCTATGAGACAGAATATCGGAAGATATTATATTATCATATTTTAGTATATTCTGATTACGTGTTAAAGGTGGGTAGGTAAGAATGGAGAAACCAGCTCGAGTGCGCTAGAATTTGAAAGTACACAACTGAAAAAAATCTGCCCCTTCCTTCAGACTTCCTACAGAGCCCCTCCTCCAACCTTTATATATACAGTCTATGCCTCCAACACACGAACGCGCACATGACCAATGAGGGCACGAGATAAGTTTGTATACAGATGGAAGGCTGACAGGCAGGTAGGCCATACAGTCATTTTAGCCGGGCCGGCATAAATTATTGGTCGTGCTTTTTACAGCGCCACGCCCACGGCTTCCACAGATTACATTTTTGTATATATTTATTGTCAAAGCATTTAATTTATTCATTGCTATCAGGAAGAGCATTCCATGGAATATAACAAAAAGTGTTTCTGAAGTGAATTACCTACCCCACCTTTAAGTTCAGAAAACACAAGAGAAATCAACTATGATCAACAATGTTTCAAAAATGATAATTAACTCTAATATAGCTATTGTAATTTCAGTTAAAATATAATCAGTTATTTCTTCCAAATTGTGCAGCATTATTATCAATGTATATATTTGGGGTCAGTGATTTTAGATGGCTACATAGCTATTTTTAATGAAGCAAGTGATTTGGAGAGCATGCAAAGCTGTATATTATTAATAATCTACTTGAGGTGATTCTGTTTCCTGGTTCTACAGGTGCACTATGTGCCGCTGAGCCTGGCACAAGCTTCTGTTTACGTCTTCATATCTCACTCTGAAGCACAAAGGTCCTACTGTAGATGGTGAAAACACGTCGTCGCTCTGGTGGGACGTGTGCTCTGAATGACTCGAGTTATAAATGTCACTCCGAACTTTATTGTGACTAATGTTTAACTGTATCGAGGAGATTAAGGTGTAATTTATATAAGGATGTACAGGTAGCTTTATTAGCAGAGCAGAGACCTGTGTGTGGTTCCAGTACGTGACGCAGAGCAGGGATCCAAAGGTGAATGAAAGATGGTGGTTGAAGTTGGTAAAACGTGATTCTCTGATTATCTCATTCTTCGAGATGAAAGGTTACTTATTAGTAAATGTATTTTTGCAGTCCAGTAGTTTTAAACTAAGGCTATCACACTTTTACCCACATTTCAAAGTATCACACAGATAATTAATGATAAACTGCCTAAAACACAATATAAATGTATTTTTTGAAATGTTGATACTTAATTACATGTTAGACGCTTTTATCCAAAGCGTCTTACATACTCAGTACTGTGGGAAATCCCCACAGGAGCAACTTGGGGTAAAGTGTCTCAGGGACACAACGACATGCTGACTGCAGTGGGGTTTGAACCTGTGATCCCCTGATCCGAACACCAACGCACTAATCCACTGCGCCACACGCCTCCCAGACTACATAGACTATATACTTCATATTACAGACTATATACTTCATATTACACAAACAATTCAAAAGTAGTATGTTGTATATGTGTACTTTTACTTAGGTTTACATCTCAGAATCAAGTCGGCCATTATTGTTTTGATTGTTTAGTGAAACAAGTGCTTTTTGTGGTTGCTAAGACTGGTTGAAAGAAACGTATTACATTACTTAAACGACCTGTAGTTAAGTCACATTTGAGGTGTTGTTCTTTGTATATACAGTCTATGGTTTGTACTTGGAAGTCAATTCATGACAGCTTCTGGCAGACAACACCAATTTGAATACAAGTTTTAAAATAGTTGGAAACATTTGGAATAATGTAAGTTCACAACTCAACAAAATATATAATGAATGTATACTTCATTATTCTGACAACTATTTATTATAGTTTCTTAGACACATTATGAGAGGATTTTATCATAAAGGGCTACAACAAATCTGTCTATCGCACATTTGATTGATTTATCAAATAATCGCCTATAACAGCCTGCAGTTTGAAGGAATAGTAAAATCACACATTTTAATGTGGCTAATAATCCTTATCAGAGTAACCTTTATTCGTCCCACAGAGGGGACATTTACATTTGTTACAGCAAGTAAAGAGCCAAAGATAGCTTGATTATTCATTAAGAAGCATGCATACAAATGTTTAAAGATAAAAGTACAATATTTATAAAATACACATCGAGTAACAGTTTTGAGAAATAGCAGCCAGGTGGAAGTATTAAAGGTGGAAGTATACAGTGTATTGCACAGGCTATAGAGATGGCACAATAATGGACTCACTGGCTAGTTGTATTTCACCTGTATTGGTGTTACTATGCTGATAGTCTGTTGAATAACTCTGAAGTGTATTCACGTACTCATGTTTATAGCACATACATCTGTTTACAGTCCACATATTTATATATTATTACAGTAAGTAGTACTGTATTCCACTGTACAGTATTTCATTTTAGATTCAGTTTTATCTTATGCTATTTAACATGTTCTCAGTTTACAGAATCCTGCATTTGACTTGCACCACTTTTTTAATCGTTTATTTGGCGGGGACAATGCACAGTGATGAACACTTAAACATTAAAATGTGTCAAGCGTAGCAGTGCCAGATTTAGCTTTGAGCTCATTTCCACCCGCAGTCCCTCACATAAAACATTTAAGAAGTTTACATTTTACAAACATAGCAAAAACAAAATACATGATATACAAAAAGTGCAAAAGAGCAAGAGCAGCATATACAAGTATTCTGTGTCTCTTGCACTAGTTTACTTCCACTGTTGGAGGAGCCTGGGATTTAACATTGCCAACAACTGCTGCATATGAAAATGAAGCCTTTAAATCTTTGAATATAACCTCTGGTTTGTTTTAAAGAGAAATGTACTAAATGCTCATAATGAACCATGATTGTAACCACTAACTATATTTAAAAAATTGCAGTTAACTACAGCTTTAACAAACACCAGTGTTATGAATGTTTTTCATTTACAAGATGCCGCTTTGTTACCATGCAGACTTAACATGGCCTGGAGTTTTAACTGCTACTGTACACGGCAATAAGGTGCGAGCAGCAGGCCGCTCTCCTGCGGTGCAAACACATCACCAGCCTCTGCATTCATTATGTGAAATGGTGCAACTAAAGGGAATTGATCCACAAGTAAATACAATGGTGGTGAAATGTGAGAGAATGGTATTTGCTTTTAATTGGCTGCTGCAAAGCAACCACCGCCTGTAATGAAGGAAGCAGTGGGGGATAAAACACAACACCGCCAACTGCACCTATTACCCTCACTGTTACACAGAAGAGCTCCATGCTCCACTTCACGTGAGACAATTAAAAAAAACATATCTGTGATTTACTTTTTAAATGATTTGATTTGTTTTACCCTGGTTGAAAGTTAATATTTGTACTTGTTTAGCTTTAACTGTAATCTGGGTTGGATCATACATGATTTAATAATCAGAGCACAAAAAATAAGAACATTAAAACATATTTGAAAGAATGTGAAACTAGATGTTACTAACATAACATTTTTCATTAGGTCTTTCAAATATTACATTTTTATGGGAAATGTTTTACTGTATATCACTCTTCTAAGATTGCAAGTTTGTAATTGGTGACATTACATACATTTTTTAAGCATGTTTTATTGATAATATAAATTAAATGTCGCGCGGGCGCAGGAGTCAAACCGACATGCTGGGCAGTGGATATGTGGCCTTTGATTAAAAAGCAGCAACAACAAACATTAACAACTAAAATAAACAGCATCCCATTTGTCGTAGAATACAACCAGTACACCTGGAGTTTGTACCAATACTTGTTTTTGACTGTACATGTACGAAAACAGTACTGGTACAAAGAGTGAATGCTGAATATGCAAAAGACATTTTATTTGCCTTTAAAATGTTTTTTTATGTGTTAAAAAAAAGATTTCAACGTTTGATTTTAAAACTATCCAAAAGTATTTCGATAAGATTACAATTTGATTTTGTAATCTGATGTTTTTTGTTACTAATGACAACAACAGCCATGTCATTTGTACTCAGTTACTGATTACATTTCACAGTAATCTGACTGTAGCACTAGCAGCACTCAGCCACCAGAGGGAGCTCTGTTCTCAGCTAAACAACTTCACTGCCTCATTTTATTTACTTCCTTTATAATAAACTCCGGAAATACCCTTTATGTAGGCTATATCTTAGAATAAAACAGCAACCTATCTGTCTTTTTCATCACAATGATGCTTAATGATCACGAGTTAATACATATTTTAGACTATTTGTTATTATTTGTTTCTGATATTAACTGTGAAATGTTCATTTTTAACTTTGCCGAGGCCTCACAGTGAGGAGACAAACAGCCGCCGCCTGATGTCCTCTTCAGGTCACTTGTGGTCCCCAGAGATGTAGTGGTGGAACCTCTCCTGCTGCATGCTGGGTAAAATCCTTGTGGATGTCAGCATGTCTGGCAGAAGGTGTAACGTTATATCCTCCCAAATATTGTGTTAACGCCTAATGCAGTTAGTCAGCACGCATATGCTGTTGTGCATAATGACAAATCGCACCCATGCAGATGTGAGCAGCCTTTTCTGTGCAGGTGTA